CACAACTAAATGAAACCAGTCTCTCCCATTTCAACTCCAAATTCCCAATAAACAGTGGAGAAATAAATCCCAGTAAAATGTGGAAAAAACTAGGGCTGGACTATTTAAAATTTAGGTTTTTACCCCAGCAATGTTAAGAGTGGGGTTTGGTGGGGGTTTCTTTGGTGCTTTGCATTGAGAGGGATTTCTAGCAGAAGAGACAGAAATTTCAAAACAGGGTGGGTTATTTTTTCAGCAAAATGAAGGCTTTTAAAATGGGAATTTCATGCAGTTCCCTAAAATGGCTCTGCTTAGCCATTAATGTAATTTATATTTAGCACAAGACCACAAACAGACAAATTGCTAGACTAGACTGTTTCAGGGAAGAGCAAACCACTCTGCCTCTTTACTCATGGTTTTGCTAAAATAAAAGAGCATGGCAGCAACATGGGAAATGAACACAAAATAGAAAAATATGGCATTTGAGAAATGGTGGTTGAGCAGATTGTGTCAGAAAGCTGAGAAGAGATCCAACCCACCCCTAGGTAAAGCATATTTAGCTAACTCAAGGATAACAGAGCAGGACAAACTGTGCACTCCAATAGACCACCCCAGTTTTGAAGTTATTAGTTTACCTACACAAAACAAACCTTCACAAAAAAAACTACCTGCACAGGGCCATGCACAAAGTATCTGCTTCTCTTGATCTATTTCCTTACAAATACAGCACTTCTTCCCTTCTGCTCCAGTGAAGGGCTGGCAGGAGGCACTTGCTGCTTTTCTAGGCTGAACAGGGGTCTTGACTTCCTACGCATTCCAGTTTCATCCACTGGGGGCTGTTTCATTCTCTCCAAGTCACTGTGGACAATGCAATGCATCTTGCTTCATGCTGCTGTGGCATGTGGATAAAAAAGCCCAAGTTCTTACTGGAGGATTCAAGCATGTCTAGACAGCAACCTCCCAGGAATTTCTGCAGAACTCTTCTCACCCTGACACCAAACTCTGGCCATTCAGACTGAACCACACCAAAGAAAACCCTCACACTGACTCTCCCGACCAAGACACAAGGGGATAAAGAGATAGTGAAAAATAAGCATCTGCTTCAGTCTCCTCAGTTTGGCAAAGGAAAATGTCCAAATGCTTCAAAGTTCCTACACTTGTCCAACAGCACCAGGTCCAGAATCCACCCCTAAACTAACAGCCTCAGATCAAGTTCCCTGTGGTGTGATACTTGGTCGTGCAGGGAACACTGCCTTTGACTGCTAAGAAGCCATTAAAAAGTGCAAGTTTGCCAAGTAGCTCAGTGTTCCTAAACTTAGGAGGCTTCATGCATTTATTTTCACAACTGACTTTAACTGGGAATAAGGTCCTTCTTCATGTGTACCATTAAACATTTACTGTTTCAGCATTCCTATGTTTTTGCAGAAGTGAAAGCCTTCGGAACAGGTTATTAAGTTTGAAGGCATTAATGAAAAACACTCAGACTTCAAAAGCATCTTTGAAACAAAATAATCCTCAAAAGGGAGGCAGGATTTGCAGTATCTGATGTGACTAAGCTGCATCAATTGACAGAAAAACTAGAGTCTTGTATTCAAAAATGGAACTGTTAAAATTCAATGGAACACAGCTCAACTCAAGAGGTTCTTAAAAACTTCAAGGATAATTTGTAAATCCACTCACACCCCATTTACATTAGAGGAATACTGTAATTGCACAAAAATAGGATAAATGCTGGAAGTCCAAGCATAACCTACCAACCACTACCAATTCTACCCTCCCTCAGATGCAAAGAACAGACATCAAAATAAAGACCTGTTATGCCCATGAATTCAGCAACGGAAGGCAAACAAAACTGACAGCACTGAGGGCTTTTTGTTGGAGGGTTGGTGGGGGTTTTTTTTAGGATACTTAGAAATGAAAATTAGTATAGTTAAATTGTTACTGCCCTCACTATTTTCCCCCCTTCAAACTATCCCCACTGTAAATATTCAACTGCCATATACAACTCATTTTAAACAACCTCCACTGATCACTCTGAGGCAAGGACACACCATTTGTTTTAAAAGTCTCCAGAAAGACTCAGAATAGGGAATCTTTTCTACACAGAGAGCTGGATAAATAAAGAAGTGAATCTGATCATTTTCATATGCTGCCAGGCTCTGGATGGATAGATGTTTCCAGAGAGCTGGCGCCTCTGTTTAGGATAGGAGAGGGTAGAATATTGCAGGGTTCCCCTTCCCTCCCCCACTGAAGCAAAATCTGGTCTCTATTAAAAGCATTTCAGCTGTAATTCTACTGTCTGGAAGATCCTGATTTTACACAGTGTTGCAATTCCTAAAACAATCATTAACACTGAGATCCTCTTCCTGGCAATTCTGTCTTTTACTTTAGCTTAGCGGGGAAGAAAAGGTTTAAGTTTTATTAACGATGAACGGCATAGAAACCATGATATCATCTTAAAAAGTTTTTGCTTTATCCATCTGTGTGGATAAAAGTTCACTCAGCAGACTTAAAACACACCTTTTCTAGCTGCCCCTATAGAAACCCTCAGGTACCATCTATCTGTAGTGCAACCAAAGGTACTAGTTGACCCACTGAAGTGACACCAGCAGTGGACAACACAGTTTGGATTAACATATTAACAGCTGCCAGCTGTGCAATAGTCAGGTGGCAACAACTGACCCACCTTCTTTCCAAGCTGAGCATATAAGCACTGGGAAATCCAACACAGGCTCGAACCACAGCCCACATGCACATTTAGGCATTACTTTCTATGGAGAATTCTGTATGATCACAAGCACCTTCTCTAAGTACTCACTGATTGAAGCTAATTTGATTCTGCCTGAATGCTGCATTAGAACACAACTGAAGTGAGAGTCAGGAGAACAATGAATGGTTTGGAAACCTGATTCCTCCTCAGGAATGCAGAGTAAGTCTATCTCCCCTGCCCCACCTCAAAAAGATCCTGATTTTTATACAGTCCTAGGATTCAGAGTGCAAAAGCTCATCTGTAAACATTCCAGGATGTCTTCCCCCAAACACACAAATGAAAGCTGAAATGTAAAAACCAATTATAGAACTACCAGTAAACAAGTCAAAGATCTCTTGGTTATACATATTAAACATGCACAGTAAAGTATGCATAACAAAATGTATTGCAATTATTAAAACTCTGCACTTGTCATCACATAAATTTGAAGTACCTTTTGACAACGTTTTTAGTTCTGCTTAAACATATTTCAAGTCAGTAATTTTCCCTTTTGTTCCTTTCTGTAGGTGATGCTGCCAGTGCTTTAGAGCTGGAACAATGACTATTGTTGGTTTAAGAGAAAGTGGGTACTGGCAGCTAATAAGGACATCATTTAATAACAACTGCCTGTTGCCTTATTAAAAGGAAGAATCTTTAGAAGTTATTGAATCCAGCTCCTGCAGCTGGCCAGGGATGATGCTTTTAGTGTCTCAGTGTCAGTGTTTTTGTCTGCCATGAAGCCCCAGATGCTTGATATTACCTCAATCTTGCTGTTAATTGAAAGAGGATTTGCACATCCCAGCTGCAAGTAAGTGTTTTCTACACTTGGAGGAAAGAGTATTTCTCACAGAACTCCAGAAGTTATTTCAGGGAGCCTCATTCTTTTTTAACCTTCAGCATTCAGTAAGCACACAGCTTCTATTCTGTAATAACAAGGAGTGAGAAAGAAAGGCACTAAAGGAAAAATAAATCAAGAACAGCTAGAAGTTAATTAAGGTCAGGGACATAAGGCCAGCCTTAAAGTTCCTACTGTGTTGTTAAAATTAAGGCAGGCTAACACAGACCTAGATGAACATCTTTAAGCCATTTCTGCCTGCCTTTTGAACTAAACATACAAAGCAGTTTCCAGCTATGCTGTGACAGAGACAGAATGATCCAGGTAATCCAGCTGCTGCTCCCAGGACCCAGTGAGGCCTCCAAGGAAAGGTTTCACCTTTGCTACAGCTGACACCTCACCTAGCTACACCAGAGTTTGCACCCCTTCAAAGTGAGAGATACTACTCTCTGCATCCGCCTTCTCCCTCTCAATCTCATGGTCAGTGTCCTCCAGTTGTACTTGGAAGGGAAGAGCCTGTCTAATCATCTCAGTTATCAGTAAAGATGCCAGAAGAAAAGTAGCTTAGCAATATATAAGCAAATATTCTAAAAACCTGAGCAGCCACAGAATGATCACATTTGCCTACAGAAAGGTCAGGCTGCACTGGTGAAGCAGAAAGTAGGAAACAGTAGAGGAAAGAACTTCAAAGTGTTGCTGCTTTATCCCTATTCTTTGCCTGCCTTAACTTGCCAACCCTCTATATGTATTACTCGTCCTTTTACAGCTCTTCCCTTTCTAACATCTCAGAGCAGCTGGTTTCCATTCCCTTTCCTGGCTCCTCTTTTCTTGATCCCAGTAATTTCTGCTCTCATCAAGGAAGAGCAGGATTCAAGACTGTGGGGCCCTAAAGAAGTGAAGCACAGGACAGGGAGAACTACACCAGGGCAACAAAGAGAAGAACAAGACTCCCTGCCAGTAAGGAAAGGTGAGAGGGAAACAGAACTAGCCTGTACAAGAAAGCAGATTGTGGCACCTGATTAAATTCACTGGTAACATTTCCCATAACACAGGATAGCAAGCTACAAAATTATGTGCCCACAGCTCCTGAAGCCTTTCTTGTGTTCTTGAGAAGTGTGTGGGGCAAAAGATGCCTCTCTCTGCTATTAATGTATCCTTTGAGAGAGACAAGGCAGCTCCCTGAACAAATGCATCCTTACAGCTTGGGTACCCACTGAGAAGGCCCTCTACAGAAAGGAAAAAAAGGATAAAAATCAGAATTCTTTTCCAAATTTCAAATTAACTTGACTAGAGTTAAAAAACAATGCATTTTGCCATTTTCATATCACAACATCAAACAGAAAACACACAACACACTGCACAAACAGACAAACAGAAACAATCTAAAGTTTTGGGAAAGTACTAACCAGTTACTGACAGCAGCTGTGAAACCCTCACCTCCATTTCCTCCCGATGAGACCTGTCTCTATCCTCGAACTCACGAGTTCTTCGCCGAGCTTCTTCAAAGGCTTGTTGTGCCAATGCATCCTCCTGCTATAAACCAGATGACACAGGGTGACACAAGAGACTGCCCTCGTTTCTACCAGATCATGTTTCTTCTGAGTATTAGGAACCACTTGGCAGCAAAGATATGTCCTACAGACTGCCAGAACACAGAGGAGTTCCAGCAAATGCCAGTACAAGTTAATGAAATCAATACTCACCTTCATCGCTGCAGCAGAGAGAACCAAAGCTACTACTAAAACGCATTTTCAAAGGACTGCTTTTCAACAGGAGTTTAAATTGCTGAGGTTTTTAAAAGCTAGGAATCCTTAAAAATTAAGAAAGAGCCGATATATTTTATTCTCCTTATAAAAGCAATTTTAAAGACCGTATTCACAGGTGTATCTAGATAAGAGTTCACCAGCATTGCTGTATAAATATTGGCCATTGGATTCTGTCATTTTAAAAGTATTAACTAACCTACAAACTAAATAAATACTCCCCTTCTGAAGGTGCATCAGTATGAACATCCATAATCTTTATGTATCATTTAAACTCAGATGCATTAGGAAGTGCAGAAGTTATTCCTCCATTAACTCGCATGCGTTCACATCCAATGCACAAGGAAGCTGAAGGTTTTCAACAGCCCTGTTGTTTTATTTTCAGCAGTGGCTACTGCACAGGAATAGATTTAATAAATTGATGCTAAAAGAATCCTTTGAATCATATTTTCTGTTGGAAAAGGTTTTAAAGAAAGTGTTATTAATGTATCAGCTATTAATAATAGGGCTACAAATGGTGTTAGAGAACTTTTAGCACGTATTTTCCTCAGAATGAAAATAGTTGGCTCTGTTCCCCACCAGACTCTTAAAACGTTGAGAATGGAGAAGTCTGAAGAGGTTCCACAAAACAGAGATATTGCTTCTCCCCCCTCCTAACTCCTCAGCTATATTTGCTACTACCTCCCCTTACGATTCCCACACACACACAAACGTTACCTTGTAACATAATCTTTTAATAGATTTTAAAAAAATTAAAACCCTAACCTTGACTGTTAGAGGACAAAAAAAACACGTGGAGAACCCAAATAAATTTTAATGTATCAAGGGATTAAGCGCATACATTTTTTAACTGAAGATAAAGCATCTCTGGTCTGGGAGAATGTTAAATTGCCTTTTTTGCCGTGGGCAGAATCGCAGGCCCTGGAGCTGCTTTGTGAAGTGAAGGAGGGAAATGCCCCTCGTGGCCTCACACACTTGAACACAAGTTACAGTCAGTAACTCCACACAGCAACGCTGAAAGGCAATGCTCCAAGCTCCCAATCAGGTCACATTTTAACACCACTTACTATTTTTGAAAGGAGAATTTGGCCCTTTATAACTATCTCAACGTTCATGCAATGCGGAGCCACCAGGCAGCGAGTGGAAAGGAAGTTTGTTCTTAATAATGCAGAAGGATAAAGGCACTGCTTGCACGTAGCATGAGGCTCTTCAGCCTCTCCTGGCCTCTGTGTTATTTCTAGGATCAAATTCAGCAGTTTAGGTCAGTTTCCACCAGCAACATCACTTTAAAAAAAGAAACAAGGTGACAGAGGAAAAAGAAAACTGAAAAATGGAAAAGATTGCCCAAACTAACACAGAGATGCATAAAAACCACCATGCAATACCAGCGTGCAGCTACTCCTGTGTCTGCCTTGGGACACCCTGACTTTTAGCTACAACTATTGTAGCAGAGATGATGGCCAAGGACCTCCTTGAAGTCGCTGGGAAGCGCAAACTGGACACAAGAGACGCACCTGTAACAACTCTGGCTGGGCAACTCCAGCTCAAAGCTCAAGCAAGCAATGACTCCTGGGGTGGGCACACATTGCCTCACCAGCAAGAGTAAGAACAAATCACATGCTCAGTGCACAAACACTTTCTGAAGACAACAAAAAGGAATTCTTAAGGGTACACATTGGGAAGCTAAAATAATCCAAGGGCAAGCAAAAACATTTATTGAGAAATTCAAAAGATAAAAACTGAACCCACAGGTCCAGAACAGAGTCACAGTAACACAGTCTTATTAATGCACAAAGTAGTTTCTTGGGTTAAGGAGAGGGAAGGCACCCCGAAGTTTGTCACTATACATACGGCCAGATAACATTTGAATACTCCCAGCTCTTCAACAGAAACAAATTAATCAATATGCCCCTCAGTTCTGCACCCCTGGACTAGAGGAGGGCTCTTGGTACTCAGGTGGAATCAAAGGGCTCCTACTTGTTAAGCAGTGACCAACTGGCTGTATCAGACTAAAAGGGAAATCAAATCCCTAGGAAACGAGGGCTGAGGATGAGGCACAGTGGAAACAGAAAATGCATCCTCATTTTTACCAGTTCCAGTGCACAGCTGCCAAGAGCAACCCCCCAGAGGACACAAAGGGAACACAAAGGTAAAATGCAGAACCAGTTTGTGTGAATATTAAGTTCTTGCAATACCCACCCATATGTATGACCCACACAAAGTGTAACAAAGGGAATAATCAGTGTCACACAAACCAGTTCAATTATTCACATGAGCAAGTTGCTTTGGATCCCCGAGTTTAAGGAGAAAAAAAGATAAAGCAAGCTCTGATTTCATTAAGCCACCAAGATTTAAAAGACACAGCATTTAGGAGACCTTGAACAGGGTTTCAAAGTGAATTACTCGAGCTTCCAGAAAAGTTAGGGGAAGTCGTGATGGACTTGGGTGAAAGAGGAAGTCTTCCAAGAGCAGTTCTTAGAAAATGGCCCAGTGCAGGGACAGAGTTAACCATTCAGAATCATATGCTGCAGGACCAACAAACAAGTTGGAGAGGGAAACAAAATTTTAAAAAGGTCTGTTTTCTTTCCTCTGCATGCTGAACAAAACCTTGTGCTCAGAAGCACTTTGGACCCTTCCTTCATATAATCCTAACATTCCTCAATCATCAACAACAGAAATGAACAGCTGAGTTCACCATAGATTACAGACTCTAGGTCATAACTCTGGTAACTGATGTTACTACATCCAGTCTTCTGTCCAGAGACAGGTGAGCTGTCTGGAAGTCCACACAAAACCTGGTGCACCAGCTTTTAGTAGCTTTATTACCAAGCTACACCTCAAAAGCAAAGATGATCTGTCTAAAGTTTGACTGAATTAAGGAACCCTACAGCTGTGTAAGTGAACTTTATATGTCATATGCACTGGAAAAAAAAATCATTTCCTCTGTGTTTACTTTGTTCTTGTGCGTGTCCAGATTCAGCTGCTAGACAGTCACTGTGGTGGTAGGAAATAGGTAGAGAGGAAGTTCTCAGAAGCTGCCATACCTTAAAAGAGCAGAGTCTACCACTGTTAGGGAAAAATTAAAAAAAAACAGAACTTTTTCTCCTCCCCCCAACATGTAATAAAACAAAAAGCTACTTTTAAAAAAAACCTAAAGTAAACAGCTAGAACAGACTTGCCATGTAAATTGCTTCAAGTTAGGGACACAGTTTTTCAAATACCTTAAAATCTAGTAGTACCCTGCAGCACAGTAGTAGTGCTAAACCATCCATAAAGTTGTAAACTCTAGATAATTCCTGTCCCTAATATTTTGATGTAATTGAAACACTAGTTTAGTTACAACTACCTCTTTTTGAACTTCCACATTGTAAATTTCCTTTGGAATTTGTACTCAAAGCCAGAACACAAGCAAATTAGGATGCGGGATCACTACCTGACAGAGTTTCCTTCCAAAAGAAGAAACGTCAAAGGCAGAGTAGCCATGGGAAGACTGCCTTACCTGTGCTCTCTCTTCATCAAATTCCAGGCAGCCCATACCATCCAGTCTCTGTAGGTCTATCCAGCCTTTCCAGATTACACAGACACCATTGAGAATCATAGGTGCCTTCAAGTACACCTGAGATAAAAAGCAAAAACACATGCTATGAGTTTGAAAGCACTTACACACATGCCTGCACAATGAAAACACTGATGCAAGATGCTTCTATATGTATTCTGAGAAGAACATCCAAACCAGCTGGTAACATGAGACTCTGCTTAACAGCTTTGCCTGCCTTCTTTCCAAGAATTCATTGTAATCAAGTGAGTGCTGGAACTTTTGCCTAATGTACTGGATGGAATGAATTTAAGCTGTGTTCTCTTTTTACAAACTGTCATGCACCAGGATTTGGTTAGAATTTTATTACTGCTTTCAGTTAACTGTTCTTGTCAGCTTACCAGAACAGGGAAAGTCCTTTACAGCACATTTAAATGGTTAAACACACACATGCTTTCCCCACTCCCAAGAAGGGCTGCATTTGACCCCAATACATGAGCTCGTCCAACAAAGAACAAGCACCAGTTTCAGCCCTCCTCAAATTTATAAACTGGTTCAGAGTTCAGTAAAACACACTATACACACACCAGGCTAAAAATAAGAAAGTCTTCCTGTGTCTGTTCTAGAAGTTGTGAAAGGCTTTTGAAAAGCAGCAACACCAGATGAGCAAAACCCACCTACAGCATCAATATGCCTTGAGCTGCAGCAAGGAATAATGCATGAGCTTAAGCTCTAGATAATGGCAGATGATAGTGATTTAAGCAGAAGTATTTCCTCTTCTAAAGACCAGAGATTAATCTCCACTCAGGAAACTTAAAAAGAAGCAAATACAACATTAAATGAGTTTGACACCCTATATTTAGTGACATCAGCCTTTAAAAAAAAAACAACAAACAACAAACCAGCAAAATTACTTGTGAAGAAAATCAAACTTAACTAGCTAGTTTAGGCTGCCTGGCAAGCCAAACCCCTAAAGAACAAAAGTTTGTCTACACTGAATAACTAAAGAGGCAAACCATGCACACACTTCAGATTTAGAGACTGCTGAGACATTCAAAATCCTTTTGAGTCTTTTTGCTCTTCAGGGGTGGCCCAGCTAAGCATAGGAATTTTCATACAGCACCTCCTTTAACAGCTCTAAATTAATCTTCTGGCAAATTCTCAAAGTATAATTGATATTTAGTGTTACAGCACATTTCAAAGCACCCCAGCTGTGCCTACCTGCTCAGACCCACACTTACCAGACAGGGTCACTCAAGCAGAAAAAGAAAAGAGATGCAGAAGAGACAGAAAGAAGATAAACCTTTTTATGCAAAGGCTGTGCTGGTAAAACTGAGCACTTAACAACGTGAAAACTAATCCCCGAGTAGAACTGAGGGAACAAATCCAACCAACTGACAAACCCCTAATGTCGTTTGCCAAAGAAAATGCACACTGGATCTCCGAGCTTGATTTTCACAATGTACCATACTCCAGTAGCCATACTCTGGAATTGTACAACATACAGTAGCTCAATAATGAACAAATAAAGGTTCGTGCAAGCTTATCTTCTTTGTATCAGCTCTCCTACTGCAAGGTCTCCACCAAGAAGAGCAGGGACTGTTTTTTCTGTCCTTGTTTTCACAGACTAGCTATGCAAGTCATCACAGCCACGTCTCCTGTGATGACAGCACACTATGCAGGCTGCAGATCTCCTGGCCAGCAGCCTCTGCCAGCAGAGGCTCAGAATGAGCATGAGTAAGAGGTGGACTACCAGGAAACCACCTCCCACAGCCCTCATTTCAAGATTAACCATTTCAAACAAACAAAATACAACACTACTCCCTTTCAGCACAGTCTTCACTCATTCATCTCACAAGAATAAATCAAGTACACACCTTCAGCTTAATAGCTGTGCTTAGTTTAGAAGTGAAAACAGGCTATTAGAATCAAAAGTCACTCTCTTTTAAGAATGCAGAGTGATGCCAAAGGGGAAAAAAAAAGCAGCATAACCTGACTTTGGGTCTGTAAAGACAGAACAGGCTGAAATTACTTTCTTGCAGAAGCAAACAAGCATTTTGCTGATCTTCATTTCAGGTTTACCTTTCATAGCCTCCCCTACCCTTCTGGCCCACAACAAAGGCCTGGGACATCAGAAGCTATATAGGACTTCCCACAGATGACAAAAATCTCCTTCTGGACAGCTTGAAAAGAGGAAGTATCTTGTTTCTCTGACATGGAATATTGTGCTGTCATTAACCCCTTCCTTTCAGGGGATGTTTCACTGCCCAGGTCCCTGCAGCTGCTTGTGTGTTACGTGCAAAGCTCACAGCTCAGTGCCTGCAACAGGCAGTCCTTCATGTGCCTTACAAGTCACCTGGAAGCCTGAGCAATGCTGGAAATTTGGCAAAAGTCTCAAGAAGTCAAAGGGGAAAAAGGACACGAGGTAGATTTCTGACCCTGCATCTGCCCACAGCAGTGACCAACAGCTGAGATACTGAGAAAGCAGCTCAGAAGCTGCCGGCACGTGGAGATAAAGTGCCCTGAATCAGAGCCCTCACAGCCTTACCCAGCTGGATTCAGCAGCCTTCAAACCTGAGATGATAAAACGTTTTTCACTTCTGAAAGGATCCATTCCTTAGCAAGATACCCGAGTTTTGAAATTACTGTGTGATCATTCAAATTCAGTATCATTCATGTTGAAACCACATGCTTACGCATCAACTTCTCTCATTAAAACAACACACAGAAGCATGTTGGTGCTTTTCCCTTCGTTTTAGAAAAAGGAATTTAGACTCCTTTTCCCCCTTCTCCTCTTTCTGGAGAATGGAAACCACCTAAGACTGTAGCCGTTTAACCACATATTTCCTTCTTTTCAGATAAAGCTATGCTGGTTCCCTTTCAATTTTCAAACTTAACAGACTTTTTAATAAATTACTGCTCTTGTCTATAAGCACATGATCTGTTATGGCACCTTAAAACTCAGTGTGAAGTTGCCTTTAAAAAAAACACAACACCTTCAGAATTCTTTGTTCTGAAAGCTGCCTGAAGACAGTCACACTTAAGAGAGCAAAGGCAAAAGCCACATGATTTCCATAAAGGCCCCAGCTTCTCCCCCTTAATATTACTGAGCAATACAATTTGATTAAAAATAGAGAAAAGGATGTCTTTGTTAGAGTAACTCTTTCAAGGTTTTGTTGCTAACCCCAGATTAACTCTATTTCTATCATTTTATACATCCTCCCCACACCTCCATGTGCTTTTCATAACAATATCTGAGAGCCAGTCTTGTAAAACTTGGGTGAAAAGCACTAGAGAGCAGAAGGAAGGAGATGGGGCTGGCAGTTGGGCCATTCCCAATGGCATAAGCAGTGGACAAATACAAAGCTACACAAAAAAACACCATTATAGGGATGTACAAGAGGAAAAGACACCTTAAACAGCTGCCTTTCAGATTACAGTCCATGCTACAAACCAAACAAGATATGGCATTTCTGACACTGACAGGAGGAGAGTAAGTTCTCCCCCATTTTGCACCCTCATTTTCCACACACTGGCAAAGCCAAGGCTCATTATTTTGTTAGATTTTGCAACGCAGGTAAACTGTCACATACTGAAATCTGCAATTTTTACTTGCTTATACTATGTGAATTTTTGTTTCATTCCACCTCAAACTAAAGTTTCCATTTCAAACTCCTACTACAAATCAAAGCAGATTTTTTTTTTTTTAATGAGAAAAGTAGACATTGCTTTTACACTGGAAACAAGCTTTTAGTGTTAGAACAAATATTCTGCTTGCTGACTGAATAACCAGCAAGAGTAAACATGCTCACATCCTGGCAGAGTATCTGGATGGAGGATGAACAGCACCATAAACATACAAACTTGAAAAGGTGCTGCAAGAATAAGTTAGGTTTTGAGTTGTTGAGCTGGGTTTTTGCTCTCTCAGCTTGATCTCTGAGCCACACCCTCACACTATATCATATCTCACCTTCCTTTTTTCACTCTTTCAGTTCATCTGATACTTTTTTTCATCTGCATTTAAATGAACAACCCTCTCCTCCAACTCCCAACTAACTGGGAGATACTTTTGTTGGTAAAACCAGGCAGGGAGGTGGCTCCTGTAACACCATTTGTTCATATTTTAAAAACTGAACTCAATTTGAATAGAGTGAAGCAGATAGAGGACAATCCTCAATGACTTTAAAAAAAGCTGCTTTACTTGAGCACAAGTGGCAAAACCTCAGTTTCACATCCTATTTTAGTCGTCTAGTAAATCCTTATCTCTCAGCACCAGGGTATTTAACTGATGTGCCATAGATATGCTATCTGCATGCTCCATCCACACATCCTGCAGTTACAGAAAATGTTCCTTCTCCCTAAAGCAACCCAGCCATTTACTCCCCCAGAGACTGCACAGTCCTCCCCACCCACTGACTAATGAGTCCCCACACTCCGATGGGACCACAGCTTCACTCTCCCAGTAAACACCAGTCCCCCCCACCCAGATTCTGTTTCCATTTTCCCAGCACACTGGAGCAAAAGGAATTCTTCCAGAGGAGGCTCAGCTCTGACTCACCCTCTGCCTCATCACATCTGCCCATCCACATCCCCTCACACCAGCTGCCTCTCTCTTGGCTAAGCCAAGTACACCCCAGTTTCGATCCCACCTTCCTCTGAATCACACCCCACTTTTAAATACTTGAACAGAAGTCTCCCCGGTGACTGACATCTAGGAAACACTGACTACCAAAAAAACCCAAGCTGCTGTCAACATTTACTCCAAGTAAGAGAGATTTTAGATCAGTTCAGGGTAACCTCATTATCCCAGCTTCTCTTGACTTGCTCTGTACAGCCTGCACAGGAAAAGGTCACTACCTGTCCAAATGGGATATTATGTATTCATCAGTTTCCTTTAACAGAATTTCTTAAGGTTATTTTGTAGATATATTTTCATAAATAAAATGCAGTGGTCTTGCCATACAGATTTGGCCTGTTTTGAAATGTAAAGTTGGGCCAGTCCTCCCTCCCCACATGCCAGGGCTCTCACTTGCACATCACAATCAGAGAAGGGTTGCCAGTCTGGGCTTCAAGAAGGGGGC